ATATGCTTCTAATTGGCACATTGTTCGACATCCCGCATGCGTGCCTGCAGTTTTCTATGTGCGTGAATAGCACGCTTTTTCGTCCAGGTGTTTGTCTACCTGTCTTTGGGTTTTGCTTTGTTTTTTAGACAAAGGACGTGTGTGTAGGCAGACAGGAGGAGTCGTACTTAACACAGGCTAGAATTTATTTATGTAACATTTATTGAACAACTAATAATCATATGTAGACATTTCAAGAGGCCTTGTCCACGCAAATCATTCATCCAATAATAATAATAGTACCCAAGTGTAGACGCTGCAAGGAAGCAGATGAAACAATAGATCACATCCTCAGCTGCTGCAAGAAGATCGAGCAGATGGACTACAAGCAGACTAACTAAACACACAGATGTCTATAATATGCAGTCGACAGGAAAGAGGGTGTATGGTATAGAGTAGTGTAATACTTCTCATATAGGTATTTAAATTATCCACATTTCACATAAGTATACTCTTAACATAGTAAGTGGTATACCTCACACAATTTTACTCCAAACTTGATAAGATACTCAAGTGTAACCAAGGTTTCAAATTATATTAATAATGCATACTTAACATAAAGCTATACATATAGGTAACGCTTACTCTAATTTTACAGTCCCAAAGTTATAATTTAATGATAGATGTCTTCTGTTGTGACTCAACTGGATTCACAGAGTGTCTCTGATGAGGATGATGGGACTCAGGTTCACAGTGAAGAAGTGCAGTTTCCCACAGCAAGAAATGAGTGTGTTGATTCTGAAAACAGCCAGTTGCATATTGACTCAGAGAAGGAGGACAGTTCTCAGCCTGATAATGAGCAGGAAGGGAAACTGGATAGCACTAACTAACAGACTGACCTTGACGAAGTAGGAACCTTAGATCGAGCTGACTGTTTGGAATTCTGAGTTCGAAGGAGTGTGAGAATAGCTAACAAGAGGGAGGCCAGAGGCCAAAGAAACGCCTTCGTGTTTTGCAAAGGGTATTAAGCAGTGTTTTTGAGACCAAATTTTTGTCAAAGCAACTTTTGGTTCAACTAAGAAGCTTGCCTTTGCTTGTCTGGATTATCTTCTTGTGTTCATGGTTTCAGGACTTTGTGATGTTCTCTTGGGTTTTGCTTTGCTTGTGCCTTTTTGGATTAAGCTTCAAGTGCTATATGATATTGAGCTGTTGGAACATTAACCTATGCCTGTTGGGGTTCAGCCTGAGATTGAACCTGATTCTCTGTTTGTACCTCCCGATGCTAATGAAAATATATTTACTGATGCTAATGAAAATGTACTTCTTGATGTAAATGCTCCTGAAATGAGTGAGGAAGAAACTTCTGTAGATTTGGAAAATGAAAGTACCAGTGTTCATGAGAATGTTTCAGAGGGAAGCCATGACCTTTCACTCCCTTCTGCACCTGGGAACCTTAATGAGAATAGAAGGGGCCAGATCTGGCAAGACAGGAGTAAATCTGTCTTGCCAGATCTGGCCCCTTCTATTCTCATTAAGGTTCCCAGGTGCAGAAGGGAGTGAAAGGTCATCGTTTCCCTCTGAAACATTCTCATGAACACTGGTACTTTCATTTTCCAAATCTACAGAAGTTTCTTCCTCACTCATTTCAGGAGCATTTACATCAAGAAGTACATTTTCATTAGCGCGAAGGTCTTCCAGATTAAAAGAAAAACAAACAAGGGCTTCAAAGCAGGGAGGCGTATCACGAAACCAATTCCTCGGCTTTAAGTGCCTTCCGCCGGGCTGACTTTCTCAGTTCAGGCATAGTTTTAGATTGATGAAGACCTTGGCAGTTCTCCTGGTTTCCCTGGCCATTGCCTTGAAAGATTTCTAGGACACCAAGTACGGTTAGTGGATTGCTAACAGGTTCCAGTATTTTACAGTGTGGCTTTGGGTTTTGTCTTTGTCCATGGACATTCATGTTTGCTGATTTTGCTGTGGCTTTTGACTTTGCATTTTTCCTTTATTTTGTAACCATTTTTCTTCAATAAAAATGGATTGTTTTTTCACAGTCAAGTGTGGTGGATAGTTATCTTAGGGCCTCGTTTCCTGCTCTGGATTGTAACAATGCCCTCAAGAACTTTTTACCTTTTAATTTTAATAAACTATAAAGACTTCTACTCTGAGGTGCAACATCTTCCATCCTGGCTCCATCTCGGTTTCCTGGCCAGATGTTGTTTCTTCTTGATTGGTGTTGATCTTATGTTGACTTCCTTCTTAACATTGTAAACATTTCTGTCATCACTGTCCCAGTTCTTATCAGAGTTTACTTATCGGTTCTTATTAGCAACTTTTAATTACAGTCCAGCAAGCAGGTAGTTTGTCACTGCAGATCTTAATATTATACTGCTGTTTCCAAAATTATTAACTCCACTCATGTAACTTCCATTCCTCCATTCATTCCCACACATCTTATTAAATTCACATTTCTCAAATCTGCACATTACATTTTTGTGACATTCTTATAGGAAGTTCTTCCAAAAGTATTGTCGAAGGCTTTCATGGCTGGAATCACTAGGTTCTTGTGGGTTTTTTCGGGCTATATGGCATTCTAGAGGCATTCTCTCCTGACGTTTCGCCTGCATCTATGGCAAGCATCCTCAGAGGTAGTAAGGTGTGTTGGAAATAGGACAATGGGTTTATATATCAATTTCAACAGAAAGGAAGAGACCATGAAAATGAACAAAATCTGGCTACCAGTATTTAAAATTAGAACAGCAAAACAGCAGAGAGGATACAACCAGGCACATCTTAACACCTCTCAACAAAAATTTTTCCCAGGCTCAGCCAGGCCTTCAAATGCTAATGAAGGTGGTCAGTTGAAACATTCACACCTAGCTCCAGCAGAGAAGAGCTCTTTGTCCCACCCCAGTCATTCCACAGATATATAAACCCATTGTCCTATTTCCAACAGACCTCACGACCTCTGAGGATGCTTGCCATAGATGCAGGCGAAACGTCAGGAGAGAATGCCTCTAGAACATGGCCCTATAGCCCGAAAACAACAACAATAACAATAACAACTCCTCCACTCCAGGCTCCCTTTTCTAATTTGGTGGCCTAGTGTATTGCCAACCAGAGCCACTCCTCCCCTTCAGAGTGCCATCCCTGGGCGTCCTTGCCTTCCCTTGCTCACCTGCTCCGTCCCGGAGTCAGGCCCGCCCTGGAGGCCCTATAGCCTGAAAAAAACCACAAGAACCTAGTGATTCCAGCCATGAAAGCTTTCGACAATACATTGGACCAGTCTCTTGTTCCATGGCCAGTTCAGACTGTTTGGGAGCAAGCTTCCTATCTGCTTCCCTGGAGACTAGGACGCAATGGAACAATGGCTTCAAACTACAAGAGAGGAGATTCCATCTGAACATGAGGAAGAACTTCCTGACTGTGAGAGCTGTTCAGCAGTGGAACTCTCTGCCCTGGAGTCTGGTGGAGGCTCCTTCTTTGGAAGCTTTTAAACAGAGGCTGGATGGCCATCTGTCAGGGGTGCTTTGAATGCAATATTCCTGCTTCTTGGCAGAATGGGGTTGGACTGGAGGATGGCCCATGAGGTCTCTTCCAACTCTTTGATTCTATGATGAGGAAGAACTTCCTAACTGTGAGCTGTTCAGCAGTGGAACTCTCTGCCCCAGAGTGTGGTGGAGGCTCCTTCTTTGGAGGCTTTCAAGCAGAGGCTGAATGGCCATCTGCCAGGGGTGCTTTGAATGCAATATTCCTGCTTCTTGGCAGAATGGGGTTGGACTGGAGGATGGCCCAGGAGGTCTCTTCCAACTCTTTGATTCTATGATTCTATGAACTTCCTGACTGTGAGAGCTGTTCAGCAGTGGAACTCTCTGCCCCAGAGTGTGGTGGAGGCTCCTTCTTTGGAGGCTTTCAAGCAGAGGCTGAATGGCCATCTGCCAGGGGTGCTTTGAATGCAATATTCCTGCTTCTTGGCAGAATGGGGTTGGACTGGAGGATGGCCCAGGAGGTCTCTTCCAACTCTTTGATTCTATGATTCTATGAACTTCCTGACTGTGAGAGCTGTTCAGCAGTGGAACTCTCTGCCCCGGAGTGTGGTGGAGGCTCCTTCTTTGGAGGCTTTCAAGCAGAGGCTGAATGGCCATCTGCCAGGGGTGCTTTGAATGCAATATTCCTGCTTCTTGGCAGAATGGGGTTGGACTGGAGGATGGCCCAGGAGGTCTCTTCCAACTCTTTGATTCTATGATTCTATGAACTTCCTGACTGTGAGAGCTGTTCAGCAGTGGAACTCTCTGCCCCAGAGTGTGGTGGAGGCTCCTTCTTTGGAGGCTTTCAAGCAGAGGCTGAATGGCCATCTGCCAGGGGTGCTTTGAATGCAATATTCCTGCTTCTTGGCAGAATGGGGTTGGACTGGAGGATGGCCCAGGAGGTCTCTTCCAACTCTTGATTCTATGAACTTCCTGACTGTGAGAGCTGTTCAGCAGTGGAACTCTCTGCCCCAGAGTGTGGTGGAGGCTCCTTCTTTGGAGGCTTTCAAGCAGAGGCTGAATGGCCATCTGCCAGGGGTGCTTTGAATGCAATATTCCTGCTTCTTGGCAGAATGGGGTTGGACTGGAGGATGGCCCAGGAGGTCTCTTCCAACTCTTTGATTCTATGATTCTATGAACTTCCTGACTGTGAGAGCTGTTCAGCAGTGGAACTCTCTGCCCCAGAGTGTGGTGGAGGCTCCTTCTTTGGAAGCTTTTAAGCAGAGGCTGGATGGCCATCTGTCAGGGGTGATTTGAATGCAATATTCCTGCTTCTTGGCTGAATGGGGTTGGACTGGAGGATGGCCCAGGAGGTCTCTTCCAACTCTAGGATTCTAGGATTCTATGATTCTATGTTTGAAGGAAATGTCCCGGAACCAAACAAACCGGCGTGTAGTTCCAAAGGGGGAACGCATTGAGCGACGGACGCGCAGGCGCAGTGTCAGTCTCGGGGGAGGGCAAAGGCAGGCCAAGCGGGCACTTCCGGTTCCGGCCTGGGGCGGCAATGGCGGCGTCGGCGGCGGGCCTGGTCCTTCTGGCCTCGGCCCGGGCCTGGGTCCCTCGCCCGGCCTCGCCCTCCCAGAGGAAGCAGCAGCAGCAGAAGAGGCTCCTCCGCCTCCAGCTCAGCGCCGCGCCCGGCCCGGAGAGATTCCGGCTGGGCCTCAAGGGCCTCCAGGGCGGGCCTGACTCCGGGACGGAGCAGGTGAGCAAGGGAAGGCAAGGACGCCCAGGGCTGGCACTCTGAAGGGGAGGAGTGGCTCTGGTTGGCAATACACTAGGCCACCAAATTAGAAAAGGGAGCCTGGAGAGGAGGAGTTGTTATTGTTATTGTTGTTGTTTTCGGGCTATAGGGCCATGTTCTAGAGGCATTCTCTCCTGACGTTTCGCCTGCATCTATGGCAAGCATCCTCAGAGGGAGTGAGGTCTGTTGGAATTAGGACAATGGGTTTATATATCTGTGAAATGACCGGGCTGGGACAAAGGACTCTTCTCTGCTGGAGCTAGGGGGTGAATGTTTCAACTGACCACCTTCATTAGCATTTGAAGGCCTGGCTGAGCCTGGGAAAATCTTTTACTGAGAGGTGTTAAGATGTGCCTGGTTGTTTCCTCTCTGTACTTGTGCTGTTGTAATTTTTGAGTTTTTTAATACTGGTAGCCAGATTTTGTTCATTTTCATGGTTTCTTCCTTTCTGTTGAAATTGTCCACATGCTTGTGGATTTCAATGGCTTCTCTGTGTAGTCTGACGTGGTGGTTGTTTGTGTGGTCCAGCATTTCTGTGTTCTCAAATAATATGCTGTGTCCATGCTGGTTCCTCAGGTGCTCTGCTATGGCTGATTTCTCTGGTTGAAGGAGTCTGCAGTGCCTTTCATGTTTCTTGATGCGTGTCTGGGCATTGCTGCTGCGTTTGGTGGTCCCTATGGAGACTTCTTGTCCAGAACTGCATGGTATATATTGGTAGACTCCTGCAGAGGTGAGAGGATCCCTCTTGTCCTTTGCTGAACGGAGCATTTGCTGGATTTTCTTGGTGGGTCTGTAGATTGTTTGTATGTTGTGTTTCCTCATCAGCTTCCCTCTGCGGTCAGTGGTTCCCTTGATGTCTGGCAGGAACACTTTTCCTCTGGGTGGATCTTCATCTTTACTCTCGTGGCTTGTTCTTGAAAAGCGAGCCTGGAAAGGAGTTGCTGTTATTGTTGTTGTTGTTGTTTACACTATGTTCCTGGTTGGAAGGAGTTCTTTCCTATTTCATTGTGCGGCCTTGGCTGTGAAATCAGTTGTTCTACTCCAGAAACGTTGTTATTTATACCACAAACTATGTTAAATTGAGACTCTATAAAAGGCCTGGGCAAACTTGGGCCCTCCTTCCCTCCCTCCAGGTGTTTTGGACTTCATCTCCCAAAATTCCTAACTGCTTCAGGCGCTTTCCTTTTCCTTCTCAGACCACCCAATGCAGCATTGCCCAAACACAAATCAAGGAACATGACAGCCCAGAATGAGAGAGATTTTATTTATTGTGTCATCAGCAACCATTGTATTACAATTCTAACAGAGCAAAACAAACACACAGATTAAAAAGAAAAAGGAAAAAAACACACAGATTTTGCAAATTTGGTATTTGGTTAAATGTCCTTTGACCAGTATCTGGCCCCTTGGAGTGCCTCTGGTGTTGCCGCAAGGAGGTCCTCCATGGTGCATGTGGCAGGGCTCAGGGTGCATTGCAGCAGGTGGTCAGTGGTTTCCTCTTCTCCACACTCGCATGTCGTGGATTCCACTTTGTGGCCCCATTTCTTGAGCTTGGCTCTGCATCTCGTGGTGCCACAGCGCAGTCTGTTCAGCGCCTTCCAAGTCGCCCAGTCCTCTGTGTGCCCAGGGGGGAGTCTCTCATTTGGTATCAGTTCTGGGTTTGAGCCTGCCACTTTTGGACTCTCACTTGCTGAGGTGTTCCAGCGAGTGTCTCTGTAGATCTTAGAAAACTATGTCTTGATTTAAGTCATTGACGTGCTGGCTGATACCCAAACAGGGGATGAGCTGGAGATGCCTCTGCCTTGGTCCTTTCACTATTGGCTGCTACTTCCCGGCAGATGTCAGGTGGTGCAATACCGGCTAAGCAGTGTAGTTTCTCCAGTGAGAAGGGCGGCATAGATGTGCCACTAATTAATTAATTAATTAATTAATTAATAGAGGAAACGGGTCATAACCTAAGAGGCAATCATTGCAATCATTTCCCTGCCTGCTGCAAAACATCAAGTGTCAAAGGACATCTAATCAGCTACCACATTTGCAAAATTTGTGGGGGTTTTTTTATCTGTTTGTTTTGTTCTGTTAGAAATGTAATACAATGTTCTGGTTGCGGATGACATGATAAATAAATAATCCAGTCAATATAACTTGAAAACCCAGATTAAATCAGCTGAGAAAAACAGGTTCAGAGATTCCATCCAAACCTCCTCTCAGTTCTCTGAGGAAAACTTGTGTTTATTCTGCTGTACCAAAACATCAAGGGGAATTCCCCAGCCCTTTCTTCTCACTTTTGTTCTAGATTAAAGTGTCAGCCTCTGGACAGAGTTTTGTAAGATGTTTTGGATCCTTTGGGGTTGACAGGCAAGGTAGAAATACTGGAAAGGCACCATGAGAGAATGTCCAAAGGATTAGAGACAAATGCTTGGCATTTCTGACCCCAAGGGATTAGAGAGAAATTTTGCTTGGCTGCAAAGGAGGAGGAGAAGGAAGGTGGAAAGGGAATTTGCTCCTTTGGGGCAGTGTGTGTTGGGGGAGCGGGGCGGCATTCTCACTTCCTTTTTCTGTCATCATCCTTGCACTTTTAGCAGGTTTATCTTGAGAAACTGTGATTGGAAAAAGAATAAGAAAACAGAGCAGGAAAACACACACGGTCTGTTCTTGCCGTCCAAGAAGGGACTCCCTTTTATCCCCATAGAATTTATTTTATTTATTTATTTCAGATATTTGTAGCCCGCCCTTCTCAACCCTCGAGGGGGGAGGGGACTCAGGGCGGCTTCCATGTACACATAATAAAATACATAATAAAAACAAGTAATTACATACACTTAAAACATTAAGTGTTGGAGGAAAGTTCTGAGAGTGCCTTGGACTGCGAGAAGATCCAACCAGTCCATCCTCCAGGAAGTAAAGCACGACTGCTCATTGGAGGGAAGGATACTAGAGACAAAGTTGAAGTACCTTGGCCACATCATGAGGAGACAGCAAAGCCTAGAGAAGACAATGATGCTGGGGAAAGTGGAAGGTAAAAGGAAGAGGGGCCGACCAAGGGCAAGATGGATGGATGGCATCCTGGAAGTGACTGGACTGACCTTGAGCGAGCTGGGGGTGGTGACTGCCGACAGGGAGCTCTGACGTGGGCTGGTCCATGAGGTCACGAAGTCGGAGATGACTGAACGAATGAACAACAACAAAAACATTCAGTCAATTCAATTAAAATATGCTTTAATATAGCAGCCTTGTGGCCTTATCTAGCTAAAGTCTGTGGTTGGACAGTTCATCAAGCTTGTCCTTAGTCCATTACCATAGCACTTGTCATCATTGTCATTGTCAGTATAATTACCCAAAGGCCTGGTCCCACATCCACGTTTTGAACATCTTTCTGAAGGAGAGGAGGAAAGACAATAACATAATTTCCCCAGGGAGTGAGTTCCGCAGGTAGGGGACTGATAGCTATACCTCACAACTTCTGTGCACATGCTAAGGCACCCAGATTGTGCGAGGATTTGCTGTCCTAAACCTTTCAAGGAAGAGTCAAGTTCCTGGCCCTCAAATGGAATGAGTTATTTTTGGCTTGTGTATGCTCTGCTGGCATCTCTTGTGGGGTGTGGGGAGCAGCTTCATGAAAGAGAGTAGAAAGTGGACCCTTTGCCTTTAATCTGTCCCCATGACCCTCTTGTGCCCTCAGAGCCTGGTCGAGTACAGCCTCAAGGATATTTCCTACGAAGTGAAGACCGCCACGTGCCACGAGCTGAAGGTTTTAGCCCGACCGGATGACCCCCTGGTCTTTCACTTTGAGGATGAGCAGGAGGCGCAGAAGTGGTGGTCCGTGGTCAGCACTTCCCTCCGGGAGGCCCAGAAAGGTCAGCCGCTGCCTGGGAATGTCCTCAGGAGGGTCAGGGGCTGGTTTATGGGCCCCGATGCCAAGAATAGGCACAGCGTGGGCAGGAGGAGAGGCACTCATGACCTCTAAGCTTCAAGGTTTTCCTAGGCTTGTTTTGTGGGAGCAGAGTGACATGTGGGGCAGGCCAAGGCAAGTGCTGGAAATTTTCTGTGTTGAGCACGTCTGTGGGGTCTGGAGAGTGAGGAGTACTGCATTAGCACACTTTGCACTTTCCACCACTCTAGCTAAAGGCAGGAAAGGGGGCGGTTTTGGAAGTAAAGAAGCTTAAATTGGCTTTTCCAGTGAATGGTTTGGGACCCACCTACCTTTGCGACCGCCTCTCCTACCACAAACCTGCACGATCCCTTTGATCTTCTGGAGAGACCCTCCTGTCGCCTCTCCCTCTATCACAGGCTCGACTTTTGGGAATGAGGGAAAGGGTCTTCTCCATGGTGGCCCCCCACTTTTGGAACTCGCTACCTAGGGAGATCAGGCAAGCCCCTACCCTAGCAGCCTTCAAGAAAGAGCTAAAAACTTGGCTCTTCCGGTGTGCCTTCGGAGAGTGACCACTCCACCTTTAACTGTCCTCATGATAAAGCAGCTTCCCATGTCCTTTATGAAGGCCAAACCCCATTGCTCCTCCTTCTTGGGCTCCTGTCTCACAAATACACACACACACCTATTTCACCCAGGGTTTTAACTTTTTAACATTTTATCTCATACATTTGGCCTGCCTTTTGTGTTTTATTTTACTATGCTATTTTATTCTGTTTATTTTATTTGTTATTTTATATATTTTGTTATGTCATATTTTTTGTTGTTTCTGTGTCTAATTATGTTATATTATCTTTGGGCTTGGCTTCATGTTAGCCGCCCCGAGTCCCCTTCGGGGAGATGGTGGCGGGTTATAAATAAAGTTTATTATTATTATTATTATTATCGACTAGCTGTACCCGCTACGCGTTTCTGTGGCCAACCTTCCCTCTTTCTGTCCTTTCCCTCCTTCCTTCACTCCCTCTTTCCTTCTCTTCTTCCTTCCTTCTCTATTTCCTTCCTTCCCCCTTTTTCTTTCTCTTCTGCTTTCTCTTTTCTTCCTTTTCTTTTTCCTTCTTTCCTTCCGTCCTTCTCTACATCTTCCCACCTTCCTTCGCTCCCTCTTTCCTTCCTTGTTTCCCTTTTTTATTTCCTTCTCTCCTTCCTTCCCCTTTTTTATTTCCCTCCCTCTTTGTCTCCTTTCTTCCTTCTCTCCCTTTCCTTCCTTCTCCCTTTCCTTCTTTCCCTTCCTCTTTCTTGTCCTTTCTTTCTTTCTTTTCTTCCCCTTCTCTCCCTCTTTCTTCCTTTTTTCTGTATTGTCATTTAGCTTTTCATCATTTAGCTTTTGGGGGCTTTTAAGTCTCTTCTGCTGCATTTTTCAGTGTTTTTATGAGTGAAGAACATACATTGGGTTGTTAGGTGTCTTGTGTCCAAATTTGGTGTCAATTCATTCAGTGGTTTTTGAGTTCTGTGAATACCACAAACGAACATTACATTTTTATATAGATATTAATATTATTATTATTATTATTATTATTATTATTATTATTATTTTGGGGGGGGGGATCCGAATTTGTTTTGCCTGTTGGCTAAATCAGCTCCCCATCTTTTTTTTTCCTGCCTGTCTCTCCGCAGCCTCTGAGGGCCCCGGCTTGCTCCCTGGCCGGCTCCTTCCCCCTCCCTCGGCTGCTGTGAACTCTCTGCCTGCGTCCGAACCAGAGGCTTCTCTGCTTTCGCAGCTGGCAAGGAAAGGTCAGTGGCGGAGTGGGGCCGGGCCCTTTGCAGTGGGCCTTCTGGAGGGCCAAAGAGCCTCTTCTTCCACCTCCTTCCCTCCAAACCTCCAGCCAGCCCAGGACTAGCAAACCACTTGGGAGAATAAAAATCAAGTGAACGTATTTCTTTCAAAGAGGGCAGCATATCCAAGGGAAACAAAACACAGGCTTCTATTACACAGAAAGCCCGCTCTGCAAGTCATAAAGGAGAAAAATCAGCTATTTGTCTCAGATCTGTGTCAGTTTTTGTTTCCAGGGAATATGGAATCAATGTATTGTCGAATGCTTTCATGGCTGGAATCACTGGATTGTTACAGGTTTTTCGGGCTATACGGCCATGTTCTAGAAGCATTCTCTTCTGACATTTCACCTGCATCTATGGCAAGCATCCTCAGAGGTTTATTTATTTATTTATTTTGGTTGCTTCTACCCCGCCTTTCTCACCCCGGGGGGGGGGGGGACTCAGGGCGGGGGGGGGGACTCAATTTGATGCCCGCAGTACATAACAACAGTAAGACAATAACATCAGTTAACAAAACAGCAGCTTTAACAATAACATCAATTAACAGGAACAGTAATTATTATAAGGCAAAAACAACCATAAAACCAATAAAAGCAATAAAACCAAATCAAACCATTTTCCTCATTGACGGTCAGCGCTTCACAATCTCATAGTCATTTCCAATTCCACACTTATCAGTCCTTTTGGTCCTATCCATCTGGTTATCCATATTTAATTGTCAGATTGCCCAAAGGCCTGGTCCCACAACCACGTCTTCACCTTCCTCCTGAAGGAGAGGAGGGATGTTGATGTCCTAATTTCCCCCGGAAGTGAGTTCCACAGGTGAGGGGCCACCACTGAGAAGGTTGTGAGGTCTCAGCGCCTCTGAGGATGCTTGCCATAGATGCAGGCGAAACGGCAGGAGAGAATGCTTCTAGAACACGGCCATATCGCGCAAAACCCTACAACAACCCAACGTGGAATCACATTTCTGCAGTGATATCCACACCTACAGTAGTTTAGGCTGTTGTGAATCATTGTGGGAAAGCGGATCCCACTTTTTCATACATATCTCACCTATTGCTGAAGAAGAAGAAGTAGCAATGCTTGCCAACCTGAACAAATTGCCCTGTGGAACTCCTCGCTTCCAGGATTTGCTTGAGGATGGGCCAGGAGCATAACAAATAATAAAACTTTATTTATACCCTGCTACCATCTCCCCAAGGGATTCGGTGCGGCTTACATGAGGCCAAGCCCACAGGACATCAGTAAACAAAAGCAATAACAAACACAATCAATACAAAACAATTAATATAAATCACATAAACAAAAAAAAAACAATAACAGTATCACACAAAAAATTCAAAAAAACCTATGGCTGGGCCAAATATAATAATTTAAAATTAAAAAAATAATAATGCTGGGCATGAACAAGGTACTCAACATGAGTTGAGTAGTGTCCTTGGGTCACTCTCCAAATGCCTTCATGGAAGTGTATATGAATAAGAGGCTGGCACACGTAGCATCATAGAATCATAGAGTTGGAAGAGACCTCATGGGCTGTCTAGTCCATCCCCCTGCCAAGAAGCAGGAAATAACAACAACAACTTTATTTTTATACCCCACCTCCATCTCTCTGAAGGGACTCGGGGCGGCTTACAGAGGGAGAAACCCAAGTATTACAAATAAAACAGACACAGTAAAAACAATCAATAACAACAAATAATAAAAAACATTAAAATTGCAATCAGAGCAGCCTCGACAGATGGCCATCCATCCATATATTTAGGAGAGCTTGCTGTTTAGTGCAAGGCTTTCAGTCTGGCAAATGAGAACAAATGAAAGCAGTAAAATGTACTGGGTTGTAGGTTTTTCAGGCTATATGCCCATGTTCTAGAAGCATTCTCTCCTAAGCATTCCTAGAAGAGAATGCTTCTAGAACATGACCATATAGCCTGAAATACCTACGACAACCCTGTTATTCCAGCCATGAAAGCCTTCGACAATACAGTAAAATATACTCCGAGCCCTTGTTCATCAACAGCTGCCAATCTGAGTGCAGTTTACTTCATCTCAGGTGTGGAAGAAAGGTGGGTTTTTGCTTCTGCAACCAGACCGGGCCAGATTTTGTCTCCTTGAGCAGAGTTGGTCCTGAAAAAGGGGCACAATTCAGGAAGGAGATGGACAAACTGGAAGAGGTCCAAAGAATGGATACCAAAAGGGTCAGAGGTCTGGAAGCCGTGAATCCTTCTGAAGGGCAGCTTACTGAGCTGGGGATGTTTAGCTTGGAAGAGAGAAGGGGACATGAGAGATGCTTCAGTATTAGTAGGATGACCCACAGGGAGGACAGGCTTGTTCTCTGCTGCTCCAGTGACAGGACGCAATGCAGCAATGGATTGAAATCACAAGAAAAAACATGAGGAAGAACTTCATGATGGTTTGACAGTGGGAAATGCTGCTTGGGAGTTCTCTGGAGGTTTTGAAGCAGAGGCTGGATGGTCATCTGTCGGGAGGGAAGTAATGCTACACCTCTATTCCGCTTTGGTTAGACCACACCTGGAATATTGTGTCCCATTCTGGGCACCACAATTCAAGAGAGATATTGACAAGCTGGAAAGTGTCCAGAGGAGGGCGACTAAAATGATCCAGGGTCTGGAGAACAAGCCCTATGAGGAGCGGCTTAAGGAGCTGGGCAGGTTTAGCCTGAAGAAGAGAAGGCTGAGAGGAGATATGATAGCCATGTATCAATATGTGAGGGGAAGCCACAGGGAGGAGGAGGGAGCAAGCTTGTTTGCTGCTTCCATGGAGACTAGGACGCGGAACAATGGCTTCAAACTACAAGAGAGGAGATTCCATCTGAACATGAGGAAGAACTTCCTGACTGTGAGAGCCGTTCAGCAGTGGAACTCTCTGCCCCGGAGTGTGGTGGAGGCTCCTTTGGAAGCTTTTAAATAGGGGCTGGATGGCCATCTGTCAGGGGTGCTTTGAATGCAATATTCCTACTTCTTGGCAGAATGGGGTTGGACTGGATGGCCCATGAGGTCTCTTCCAACTCTTTGATTCTATGAGGGCTTGAGTTGTGTTTTCCTGCCTAGCAGAATGGGGTTGGACTGGATGGCCCTTGGGACCCCCTCCAACTCTAGGGTTCTATGACATATTCCTTAAAAGTAAAAGTAACCATCTTCTTGTACTCTTCCTTGCCTCTCTCCAGAAGAGTTGGCGCTCCGTCTGTCCGCGGCCATTGAGCTCGGTGACGAGGCAGAGGCCGTGCATTCGGCCACGGCACTCTCCCAGCAGCAGATCCCGCTGCGCATCCTGCTGAAGGAGTCCTTCTACCCCACCAACGAGATCAGGTCTGGACGGAGTGAGGGAGGCCGGTGGGCCCTGGGGAAGACTCTTTTTTACCTTCTGCTTCAACCTGGGTTGCTTCCCTTTCAGCATGAAGGTTCAAGTGGAGGACGCCATGTGCTCGGCCAGCATCTCCACCCGTGTCCACACCCACACCACCATCGCGGCGCTCAGGCAGCAGGTAGGGCCCAGGGCCTTGATGAGCAGGCAGCAGAACGTTCTCTATAGCAAAGCAGATACTGTCTATACTCGAGTATAAGCCGAGCTTTTCAGCCCTTTTTTTAGGTCTCTATAGCAAAGCCCCCCTCCGCTTATACTAAAGTCAAGGTTATGTATTATTTCACTCTGTTATTATTATTTTTATTACATTTATTATTTAACTATTTATTATTGGTTATTAAATTTACATTATTTTACTCTATTATTATTCTTACATTTATTATTTTTCTCCATTATTATATTTATTATTTTACCTTATTATTATTGGTATTATTACATTTACATTATTTTACTCCATTTTTATTCTTACAATTATTATTTTATTCTATTATTACTGTTATCATTACATTTCCAAAATTTTATTCTTTTATTATTAGTATTATTACATTTACATTATTTTACTCTATTATTATTAGTATTATTACATTTACATTATTTTACTCTGTTATTACATGTATTATTTTACTCTATTATTACATTTACATTACTTTATTATTACATTTATTATTTTACTCCATTATTACATTTATTATTTTACTCTATTATTATTATTATTATTAGTATTATTACATTTACATTATTTTACTCTATTATTACATTTATTATTTTACTCTATTATTACTGTTATCATTACATTTACATTATTTTACTCTATTATTAGTAGTATTATTACATTTACATTATTTTACTCTATTATTACATTTATTATTTTACTCTATTATTACTGTTTTCATTACATTTCCATTATTTTACTCTATTATTATTAGTATTATTACATTTACATTATTTTACTCTGTTATTACATGTATTATTTTACTCTATTATTACATTTACATTATTTTACTCTATTATTACATTTATTATTTTACTCCATTATTACATTTATTATTTTACTCTATTATTATTATTATTATTATTAGTATTATTACATTTACATTATTTTACTCTATTATTACCTTTATTATTTTACTCTATTATTACTGTTATCATTACATTTACATTATTTTACTCTGTTATTATTAGTATTATTACATTTACATTATTTTACTCTATTATTACATTTATTATTTTACTCTATTATTACATTATTTTACTCTATTATTATTAGTATTATTACATTTACATTATTTTACTCTATTATTATTAGTATTATTACATTTACATTATTTTACTCTATTATTACCTTTATTATTTTACTCTATTATTACTATTATCATTACATTTACATTATTTTACTCTATTATTAGTAGTATTATTACATTTACATTATTTTACTCTATTATTACATTTACATTATTTTACTCTATTATTATTAGTATTATTACATTTACATTATTTTACTCTATTATTATTAGTATTATTACATTTACATTATTTTACTCTATTATTACCTTTATTATTTTACTCTATTATTACTATTATCATTACATTTACATTATTTTACTCTATTATTAGTAGTATTATTACATTTACATTATTTAACTCTATTATTACATTTATTATTTTACTCTATTATTACTGTTTTCATTACATTTCCATTATTTTACTCTATTATTATTTTATTACATTTATTGTTTTACTCTGTTTACTATTATTATTGGAAGGATACGTAAACACATTAGAATAATGGTTTAATCAGAGTTGGGCAACCTTAGACTCAAGTCAATACATTTATATTGTTGTTATTATTATTACTATACTGTCTAACAACCACAACTTTATTTATAGTCTGCTCTATCTCCTCGGAATAGAAGAGCACTCTTTCCCTTTGGCTCTAGGTTTCCTTTATTTCTCCTGCCCTCAATTTCTCCTTGTCTCCATTACTTTGTAATTCCAAACATAAAAGGCAAACATTCAATGCCCGAATACAACAACAATACATCCATACTAACAAAATGTAACAACCCAACATATAAACACAAATTATGACTTAACAACTAAAATTAAATTAAAAAAACACAGCCTGTTACTACAGACATAAGACAAAACAACATTATGGCATTCGACACAGTGAATCGCAGCATTCTTGTCTGTATACAAGGGCCATTTGTCCCAGACCATCAAAGGCAAAGCTGGAGAAAAGAATAAAAGTCTTATTACACAAGGGTTTGATGTGTTGTTGGGTTTGGCCTCCGAGTCCCTTGGAGAGATGGTGGCGGGGTATAAACAAAGTTATTATTATTATTATTATTATGTGACAGGGAAATAGATCTTTTTTTCCACAGTAGAACAAAGGATTTGTGGGTGTGGTTTATCAACCTATAAAAATGATTCTGTGGAGATCCTCAGTTCTGGTGAAAGAATGTTATGACAATGCGGTAATATTATTATTATTTATTTCTGGTATTTATATCCCGTCTCTTCTCTATCTCGAAAGGGGGGCTCAGGACGGCTTACATTTATTTATTTATTTATTTATGTATTTATTTATGTATTTATTTATTTATTTACAGCTTTTATATTCCGCCCTTCTCACAGTGTACACATATATGGCAAACATTCAATGCCAATTTTTGACATACAAACATATACAGACATAGTCAGAGGCTATTTAACTTTTTCTGGCCGCCAGGGGGAGCTGTCGCTTTCATCGTCCATCTGCGACGCTGATGAAGCTCTTCCGCATTCCCCGCATACTTCCCACTGGAATGCTTTGCTGGAGTCTTCTTTATGGCCTCATAAATCAGTTAATGTAGCCTCCCCACACTTTAAGGTGGTACCTTATTTTCTTACTTGACAGATGCAAATGTCTTTCAGGTTGCAAAGGTCAACAACAGGCTACACACAATTGGTTGGAAACCCACTCCAGCCCAGGCTGGCTTCGAACTCATGACCTTTTTGGTCAGAGTGATCTTAATGCAGCTGACACTCAGCCAGCTGCACCACAATCACATAGGCAGCAATTTGATGCCGTTACATGAACAATTAATACAATAACCATTAAACAAAACCCATCAAACCATTAAAATACATAAAATACATAAGCCATTAATTAAACAGTATAAAATCTTAATTACCAATAAAACCATGTTGTTGTTCATTCGTTCAGTCGTCTCTGACTCTTCGTGACCTCATGGACCAGCCCACGCCAGAGCTCCCTGTCGGCCGTCACCACCCCCAGCTCCTTCAAGGTCAGTCCAGTCACTTCAAGGATGCCATCCCTCCATCTTGCCCTTGGTCGGCCCCTCTTCCTTTTGCCTTCCACTTTCCCCAGCATCATTCCCTTCTCTAGGCTTTGCTGTCTCCTCATGATGTGGCCAAAGGACTTCCGCTTTGTCTCTAGTCTCCTTCCCTCCAGTGAGCAGCCGGGCTTTCTTTCCTGGAGGATGGACTGGTTGGATCTTCTCGCAGTCCAAGGCACTCTCAGCACTTTCCTCCAACACCACAGCTCAAAAGCATCTCTCTTCCTTCGCTCAGCCTTCCCTAAGGTCCAGCTCTCACATCCGTAGGTGACTACAGGGAAGACCATGGCTTTGACTAGGCAATGGATCTTGGTTGCCAGTCTGATGTCTCTACTCTTGACTATTTTATCGAGACTGGACATTGCTCTCCTCCCAAGAAGGAAGCGTCTTCTGATTTCCTGGCCACAGTCTGCATCTGCAGTAATCTTTGCGCCTAGAAATACAAAGTCTGTCACGGCCTCCACGGTTTCTCCCTCTATTTTCCAGTTGTCAATCATTCTTGTTGCCATAATCTTGGTTTTTTTGATGTTTAGCTGCAACCCGGCTTTTGCGCTTTCTTCTTTCACCTTGATTAGAAGGCTCCTCAGCTCCTCCTCGCTTTCGGCCATCAGAGTGGTGTCATCTGCATATCTGAGGTTGTTAATGTTTCTTCCAGCAATTTTCACCGCCCCAGCTTTGCATTCCTCAAGCCCCGCACATCCTCGCATGATGTGTTCTGCATACACGTTAAAAAGGTTGGGTGAGAGTCTGCAGCCTTGCCGGACGCTTTTCCCAATCTGGAACCCGTCTGTTGTTCCGTGGTCAGTTCTGACTGTTGCTACTTGGTCCTTGTACAGATTCCTCAGGAGAGAGGGAAGGGGGCTTGGGATGCCCATCCCACCCAGAACTTGCCACAATTTATTATGATCCACACAGTCAAAGGCTTTAGAATAAAACTATATCTTCATGTAAATCGTCTTTCCAGTCCATTTCAACCAAAGTGCTGCTTTATGTCTGCTGACCGAAGGCCTGGTCCCACAACCACGATTTTACTTTCTTCCTGAAAGCCAGGAGGGATGGGGTCGATCGAATAATAATAATAATAATAATAATAATAATAATAATAATAATACTTTATTTGTACCCCGCTACCATCTCCCCAAGGGACTTGGTGCGGCTTACATGAGGCCAAGCCCACAGCAGATCAATAAACAAAGGCAATAACTATCAATACAAAACAGTTAAAATAAACTCAAAAACAGAAAATACACAATAAGCAATAAACAATAGCAATAACAATAACATACAGCATTTGAAACCTATGGCTGGGCAAAATGTAATAATTAAAATGTAAAGTGCTGGGCATGAACAATGTAGGGTAAACTAGGATAGGGTTTTCAAAGAACGATGAGGGCGCGCAGACAATCCTAAATCAGTATTAAAGTGTTTTTGAGGACATATTGCTAAGAGGTTTCCTTCTTCTGGGAAGGCACACTGGAACAACCACGTTTTCAGGCTCCTCCTAAAGACTGCCAGCGTTGGGGCATATCTGATGTCCTTAGGGAGTGAATTCCAGAGTCGAGGGGCCACCACTGAGAAGACCCTCTCCCTCGTTCCCACCAATCACGCCTGCGAAGGAGGTGGGAGTGTGAGCAGGGCCTCTCCAGATGATCGAAGAGATCGTGTGGGTTTGTACACAGAAATGCAGTCACGCAAGTAGGCAGGTCCCAAACTGTTCAGGGCTTTGTAGGTAAGCATCTGCACCTTGAATTGGGACCGGAAAATGAACGGTAGCCAATGGAGCTCCTTGAACAGGAGGGTTGACCGCTCCCTGTAAGGAGCCCCCATTAACAACCTGGCTGCCGCCCGTTGAACCAGTTGGAATTTCCGGGCTGTTTTCAAGGGCAGCCCCATGTAGAGTGCATTACAGTAATCCAGTCTGGAGGTGACTAAGGCATGGACCACCCTGGCCAGATCCACCTTCACGAGGTACGGTCACAGTTGGCACATGAGTCTTAGTTGTGCAAAGGCCCTCCCAGCCACCGCCGAAGCCTGAGTCTCAAGCGTATGTGATGAGTCCAGGAGGACACCCAAGCTGCGGACCTGTGCCTTCAGGGGGAGTGTCCAACACAGGTTGCCACCCTATACCCCGATACCCCATTTCTCATTTGGAAGTACATTCCACAGGTGGGGGGCCACCGCCGAGAAGGCCCTGTCCCTCGTCCCCACCAGCTGCGTTTACGATGTTGGTGGAAGCGAGAGCAGAGCCTCCTCGGATGATCTTAGGTTACAAGGTGGGGCGTAGTGGCAGATGCATTCAGATAATAAAACTTGGATGGATTGCAGCCATAAAGTAATTAGCTTTATTTATATTATTTACACAAAGAACATCACAGCACAGAGCAAAGACGTCTGTTCCGGCAAAAGCATCTCGGCAAGAGGGCGATTACAGTCTTCTTATCAGTGAAGACACACCTCTCAAATAGTTTCCTGATGACCAAATTCCGGTATCAGAAGAAGAAGTAGGAAATCATTTCACATCTTGTCCTGCTAGGACAAACCCAAACCCCTGTGGTCTGTTAACTCTACAAATGTTAGGCAGCTTTTACAAACACGATCACAGCTTTAAAAACATACACTTTGAAATCTCCCAATAAATCAAAGACATCTCATCCTGTTATGCGTTGGCCAATATGGTTGTCTGTTGACAAATAAAGTGCTCTCTGAAGACTCCCTTGAAGCAGACACGCTGCCAGAACCCCTGGCCCAGCTCTCTTGTCTCTCTTCCTCCTTCCCTCTCACGCAGGTCTTTCAGCACTACGGCTTCCACCCCAGTGTCCAGCGCTGGGTCATCGGCCAGTGCCTCTGCGTGGACGACCGGACGCTCAGCTCTTACGGGATCCGGCGGGACGGGGACACGGCCTTCCTCTACCTGCTCTCGGCCAAGGGGGCCAACCTCTCGGAGCAGCGCTTCAAGGAGGACAAGGACTGGGTGGTCCTGCAGCCCGCCCCCTCCCCGCCGACCGACCCCTCGGACGCCCGGCGCAAGTACAGCACGCTGCCCAACCCCTTGTCAAAGAAAGGTGAGCGGGAGGGCGGGCGGCTCCCGGAAAGGCCAACGGTTGCCGCTGTCCAGAAGAAGGGCTTGATCTCGGATGGGGGTCACACCTTGTGCCTGCCCTTCCAGCAGGTTCGAAAGACGGGAACAGGAAGATGGACTTTGGGGAGATCAGCCAGTTCCTGGGCTCTCTGCAGCTGGGCAGCCTCCTTCCTGGACACAGCCGGGCCCCTCCGGCCGCAGCTCCTGCCCCTCCTTCTCCTGTGCAGGTAGGAAAGCCGCCTTCTTCTAAGCCCCACCCATAGAATCATAGAATCAAAGAGTTGGAAGAGACCTCATGGGCCATCCAGTCCAACCCCATTCTGCCAAGAAGCAGGAATTGCATTCAAATCACCCCTGACAGATGGCCATACAGCCTCTGTTTAAAAGCTTCCAAAGAAGGAGCCTCCACCACACTCCGGGGCAGAGAGTTCCACTGCTGAACGGCTCTCACAGTCAGGAAGTTCTTCCTCATGTTCAGATGGAATCTCCTCTCTTGTAGTTTGAAGCCATTGTTCCATTGCGTCCTAGTCTCCAGGGAAGCAGAAAACAAGCTTGCTCCCTCCTCCTCCCTGTGGCTTCCTCGCACATATTTATACATGGCTATCATATCTCCTCTCAGCCTTCTCTTCTTCAGGCTAAACATGCCCAGCTCCTTAAGCCGCTCCTCATAGGGCTTGTTCTCCAGACCCTTGATCATTTTAGTCGCCCTCCTCTGGACACATTCCAGCTTGTCAATATCTCTCTTGAATTGTGGTGCCCAGAACTGGACACAATATTCCAGATGTGGTCTAACCAAAGCAGAATAGAGGGGTAGCATTACTTCCTTAGATCTAGACACTATGCTCCTATTGATGCAGGACAAAATCCCAGTCTCCTTCCTTTCCTTTGGAGCTCCTGCTGTGGACCTCCCTGCTTTTGGAAAGGGACAGAGTATCCTCCCATTTTGCTGTGTGTAATGCCTTTCAGAACCCCCTCTGGCAAATTAAAGTTACAAGAATGTCTTGGGATTGACTTTTAATGCCTGGTTACTCACATCACAGGGAGAAAGTTGCACGTAAAGAATAATAATAATAATAATAATAATAATAATAATAATAATAATAATAAGTTTTATGTATACCTCGCCACCCTCTCCCCAATGGGGACTTGAGGCGGCTAACATGAGGCTGAGCCCAAAAATAATACTACAAAATAATAAACAAAACAATAGAAAATTAAACACAACAAAATACATAATGCAACACAATACAATGGATAATGTGTTAAGTGGTCAATTGTTATATATGCATTGAATTATTGCTGTTTTTATTGTGTGTAAACCGCTGTGAGTCGCCTTCGGGATGAGAACAGCAGTATATAAGCAAAGCAAATAATAATAATAATAATAATAATAATAATAATAATAATAATAATACAATAGACAGTGCAAAATAACAGAATAAAATCAAATCACAAAGGGCGGGCCCAAATGTGCAAGATAAAATGTTAAAACCGTTGAAACCCTGGGTGAGATTATTATTATGAACTTTATTTGTACCCTGCTAACATCTCCCGAAGGACTCGGTGCTGCTTACAAAGGCCAAGGCCCTCAATAAACCAACAGCAGAACAAATACAACAAGAAAACTCATAAAGCAAAGCAATAAACATTAAAGCAATAACAGTAAGACATCAAAACAATCCATCATGACACATTTAAAACTGGGGACGGGCCAAATGTAATGAATAAAGATTAGAAGTGCTGGGCATGACAGGTGAAATGTAAGGATTTTAGGGTAGGTGCGATGTGCAGGCAATCTTAAATCTCTGGTAAAGTGCGTTTGGGACATGATGCTGGAAGTTTCCTATTCTGGGAAGGCACACTGGAACAGCCATGTCTTCAAGCTCTTCCTAAAGACTGCCAACGTTGGGGCTTGTTTGATGTCCTTGGGGAGAGAGCTCCAGAGTTGGGGGGCCACCACAGAGAAGGACCTGTCCCTCATCCCCACCAAACGCGCTTGCGACGCAGGTGGAATCGTGAGCAGGGCCTCTCCAGATGAACGGAGGGATCATGTGGGTTCATATACGGAGATGCGGTCACGCATCCCTCCTCCCTGTGACTTCCCCTCACATATTTATCCATGGCTATCATGTCTTCTCTCAGTCTTCTCTTCTTCAGGATAAACATGCCCAGCTCTTTAAGCTGCTCCTCATAGGGCTTGTTCTCCAAATCCTTGATCATTTTAGTTGCCCTCCTATATATTTGTGTATATGTGTATATATGTGTGTTTGCATATATATGTGTCTGTGGTTTTGCACATTTGTGGTAATGTATTTTTTTATTTTTTGGCTTTTTAAGTCCCTTCTGTTTTGTTTTTCAGTGTTCTTATGAGTGATGGTCACTCATTGGCTTGATAGGTGTCTTGTGTCCCAATTTTGTGTCAATTCATCCAGTGGTTTTTGAGTTATGTTAATCCCACAAACAAACATTACATTTTTATGTATATAGATTCAGTTGTTCTCAGCCTGTGTCTCTCCAGGTGTTTTGGCCTATTATTATTATTATTATTATTATTATTATTATTATTAATTTTATTTGTACCCCGCTAACATCTCCCAAAGGACTCGGTGCGGCTTACAAAAGGCCAAAGCCCTTTAATAAAACAACAGCACGACAAATACAACAATAAAACTCATAAAGCAAAACAGTAAACATAAAAAACAATAACACCATGATGCATTTAAAACTAGGCCTGGCCAAATGTAATGACTAAAATTAAAAGTGCTGGACATGACAGGTGGAGTGTAAGGTTTTTAGAGATAGGTGCGGTGTGCAGACAATCTTAAATCTCTAATAAAGTGCATTTGGGACATGATGCTGGGAGTTTCCTATTCTTGGAAGGCACACTGGAACAGCCACATCTTCAAGCTCTTCCTAAAGACTGCCAATGTTGGGGCTTGTCTGATCATAGAATCATAGAATCATTCATAGAATCATAGAATCAAAGAGTTGGAAGAGACCTCATGGGCCATCCAGTCCTTCCTCATGTTCAGATGGAATCTCCTCTCTTGTAGTTTGAAACCATTGTTCCATTGCGTCCTAGTCTCCAGGGAAGCAGAAAACAAGCTTGCTCCCTCCTCCCTGTGGCTTCCTCTCACATATTTATACATGGCTATCATATCTCCTCTCAGCCTTCTCTTCTTCAGGCTAAACATGCCCAGCTCCTTAAGCCGCTCCTCATAGGGCTTGTTCTCCAGACCCTTGATCTGCTCCCTCCTCCCTGTGGCTTCCTCTCACATATTTATACATGGCTATCATATCTCCTCTCAGCCTTCTCTTCTTCAGGCTAAACATGCCCAGCTCCTTAAGCTGCTCCTCATAGGGCTTGTTCTCCAGACCCTTGATCATTTTAGTCGCCCTCCTCTGGACACATTCCAGCTTGTCAATATCTCTCTTGAATTGTGGTGCCCAGAATTGGACACAATATTCCAGGTGGTCTAACCAAAGCAGAATAGAGGGGTAGCATGACTTCCCTCCCGACAGATGACCATCCAGCCTCTGCTTCAAAACTTCCAGAGAACTCCTAAGCAGCATATCCCACTGTCAAACCATCATGAAGTTATTCCTCGTGTTTTTTCTTGTGATTTCAATCCATTGCTGCATTGCTTCCTGGTCTCTGGAGCAGCAGAGAACAAGCCTGTCCTCCCCTGTGGGTCATCCTACTAATACTGAAGCACGGCTCCTCTCATGTCCCCTTCTCTCTTCCGTCCTTGGGGAGAGAGTTCCAGAGTCGGAGGGCTACCACAGAGAAGGCCCTGTCCCTCGTCCTCACCAATCGCGCTTGCGACGCAGGTGGAATCATGAGCAGGGCCTCTCCGGATGATCAGAGGGATCATGTGGGTTCATATACGGAGATATATATATAGCTGTTAGGATTTCTGGGAGTTGAAGGCCAAAACACCTGGAGACCCACAGGTTGAGAATCACTGCTCTCATTCATTGTTCTGGGGGAAGCGTGGGGTGGAAATAAAGCTGATGCATAGTGCTGAGGGTGATGCTGATGAGGGGGAGGGGGTCAGTCCTGGGGTGCCCTTGGGTCAGAGGGCAGGCCAATACCCCCTTCTCCGGTGGAAGCGTGGGGTGGAAATAAAGCTGATGCATAGTGCTGAGGGTGATGCTGATGAGGGGGAGGGGGTCAGTCCTGGGGTGCCCTTGGGTCAGAGGGCAGGCCAATACCCCCTTCTCCGGTGGAAGCGTGGGGTGGAAATAAAGCTGATGCATAGTGCTGAGGGTGATGCTGATGAGGGGGAGGGGGTCAGTCCTGGGGTGCCCTTGGGTCAGAGGGCAGGCCAATACCCCCTTCTCCGGTGGAAGCGTGGGGTGGAAATAAAGCTGATGCATAGTGCTGAGGGTGATGCTGATGAGGGGGAGGGGGTCAGTCCTGGGGTGCCCTTGGGTCAGAGGGCAGGCCAATACCCCCTTCTCCGGTGGAAGCGTGGGGTGGAAATAAAGCTGATGCATAGTGCTGAGGGTGATGCTGATGAGGGGGAGGGGGTCAGTCCTGGGGTGCCCTTGGGTCAGAGGGCAGGCCAATACCCCCTTCTCCGGTGGAAGCGTGGGGTGGAAATAAAGCTGATGCATAGTGCTGAGGGTGATGCTGATGAGGGGGAGGGGGGTCAGTCCTGGGGTGCCCTTGGGTCAGAGGGCAGGCCAATACCCCCTTCTCCGGTGGAAGCGTGGGGTGGAAATAAAGCTGATGCATAGTGCTGAGGGTGATGCTGATGAGGGGGAGGGGGTCAGTCCTGGGGTGCCCTTGGGTCAGAGGGCAGGCCAATACCCCCTTCTCCGGTGGAAGCGTGGGGTGGAAATAAAGCTGATGCATAGTGCTGAGGGTGATGCTGATGAGGGGGAGGGGGTCAGTCCTGGGGTGCCCTTGGGTCAGAGGGCAGGCCAATACCCCCTTCTCCGGTGGAAGCGTGGGGTGGAAATAAAGCTGATGCATAGTGCTGAGGGTGATGCTGATGAGGGGGAGGGGGTCAGTCCTGGGGTGCCCTTGGGTCAGAGGGCAGGCCAATACCCCCTTCTCCGGTGGAAGCGTGGGGTGGAAATAAAGCTGATGCATAGTGCTGAGGGTGATGCTGATGAGGGGGAGGGGGTCAGTCCTGGGGTGCCCTTGGGTCAGAGGGCAGGCCAATACCCCCTTCTCCGGTGGAAGCGTGGGGTGGAAATAAAGCTGATGCATAGTGCTGAGGGTGATGCTGATGAGGGGGAGGGGGTCAGTCCTGGGGTGCCCTTGGGTCAGAGGGCAGGCCAATACCCCCTTCTCCGGTGGAAGCGTGGGGTGGAAATAAAGCTGATGCATAGTGCTGAGGGTGATGCTGATGAGGGGGAGGGGGTCAGTCCTGGGGTGCCCTTGGGTCAGAGGGCAGGCCAATACCCCCTTCTCCGGTGGAAGCGTGGGGTGGAAATAAAGCTGATGCATAGTGCTGAGGGTGATGCTGATGAGGGGGAGGGGGTCAGTCCTGGGGTGCCCTTGGGTCAGAGGGCAGGCCAATACCCCCTTCTCCGGTGGAAGCGTGGGGTGGAAATAAAGCTGATGCATAGTGCTGAGGGTGATGCTGATGAGGGGGAGGGGGTCAGTCCTGGGGTGCCCTTGGGTCAGAGGGCAGGCCAATACCCCCTTCTCCGGTGGAAGCGTGGGGTGGAAATAAAGCTGATGCATAGTGCTGAGGGTGATGCTGATGAGGGGGAGGGGGTCAGTCCTGGGGTGCCCTTGGGTCAGAGGGCAGGCCAATACCCCCTTCTCCGGTGGAAGCGTGGGGTGGAAATAAAGCTGATGCATAGTGCTGAGGGTGATGCTGATGAGGGGGAGGGGGTCAGTCCTGGGGTGCCCTTGGGTCAGAGGGCAGGCCAATACCCCCTTCTCCGGTGGAAGCGTGGGGTGGAAATAAAGCTGATGCATAGTGCTGAGGGTGATGCTGATGAGGGGGAGGGGGTCAGTCCTGGGGTGCCCTTGGGTCAGAGGGCAGGCCAATACCCCCTTCTCCGGTGGAAGCGTGGGGTGGAAATAAAGCTGATGCATAGTGCTGAGGGTGATGCTGATGAGGGGGAGGGGGTCAGTCCTGGGGTGCCCTTGGGTCAGAGGGCAGGCCAATACCCCCTTCTCCGGTGGAAGCGTGGGGTGGAAATAAAGCTGATGCATAGTGCTGAGGGTGATGCTGATGAGGGGGAGGGGGTCAGTCCTGGGGTGCCCTTGGGTCAGAGGGCAGGCCAATACCCCCTTCTCCGGTGGAAGCGTGGGGTGGAAATAAAGCTGATGCATAGTGCTGAGGGTGATGCTGATGAGGGGGAGGGGGTCAGTCCTGGGGTGCCCTTGGGTCAGAGGGCAGGCCAATACCCCCTTCTCCGGTGGAAGCGTGGGGTGGAAATAAAGCTGATGCATAGTGCTGAGGGTGATGCTGATGAGGGGGAGGGGGTCAGTCCTGGGGTGCCCTTGGGTCAGAGGGCAGGCCAATACCCCCTTCTCCGGTGGAAGCGTGGGGTGGAAATAAAGCTGATGCATAGTGCTGAGGGTGATGCTGATGAGGGGGAGGGGGTCAGTCCTGGGGTGCCCTTGGGTCAGAGGGCAGGCCAATACCCCCTTCTCCGGTGGAAGCGTGGGGTGGAAATAAAGCTGATGCATAGTGCTGAGGGTGATGCTGATGAGGGGGAGGGGGTCAGTCCTGGGGTGCCCTTGGGTCAGAGGGCAGGCCAATACCCCCTTCTCCGGTGGAAGCGTGGGGTGGAAATAAAGCTGATGCATAGTGCTGAGGGTGATGCTGATGAGGGGGAGGGGGGTCAGTCCTGGGGTGCCCTTGGGTCAGAGGGCAGGCCAATACCCCCTTCTCCGGTGGAAGCGTGGGGTGGAAATAAAGCTGATGCATAGTGCTGAGGGTGATGCTGATGAGGGGGAGGGGGTCAGTCCTGGGGTGCCCTTGGGTCAGAGGGCAGGCCAATACCCCCTTCTCCGGTGGAAGCGTGGGGTGGAAATAAAGCTGATGCATAGTGCTGAGGGTGATGCTGATGAGGGGGAGGGGGTCAGTCCTGGGGTGCCCTTGGGTCAGAGGGCAGGCCAATACCCCCTTCTCCGGTGGAAGCGTGGGGTGGAAATAAAGCTGATGCATAGTGCTGAGGGTGATGCTGATGAGGGGGAGGGGGTCAGTCCTGGGGTGCCCTTGGGTCAGAGGGCAGGCCAATACCCCCTTCTCCGGTGGAAGCGTGGGGTGGAAATAAAGCTGATGCATAGTGCTGAGGGTGATGCTGATGAGGGGGAGGGGGTCAGTCCTGGGGTGCCCTTGGGTCAGAGGGCAGGCCAATACCCCCTTCTCCGGTGGAAGCGTGGGGTGGAAATAAAGCTGATGCATAGTGCTGAGGGTGATGCTGATGAGGGGGAGGGGGTCAGTCCTGGGGTGCCCTTGGGTCAGAGGGCAGGCCAATACCCCCTTCTCCGGTGGAAGCGTGGGGTGGAAATAAAGCTGATGCATAGTGCTGAGGGTGATGCTGATGAGGGGGAGGGGGTCAGTCCTGGGGTGCCCTTGGGTCAGAGGGCAGGCCAATACCCCCTTCTCCGGTGGAAGCGTGGGGTGGAAATAAAGCTGATGCATAGTGCTGAGGGTGATGCTGATGAGGGGGAGGGGGTCAGTCCTGGGGTGCCCTTGGGTCAGAGGGCAGGCCAATACCCCCTTCTCCGGTGGAAGCGTGGGGTGGAAATAAAGCTGATGCATAGTGCTGAGGGTGATGCTGATGAGGGGGAGGGGGTCAGTCCTGGGGTGCCCTTGGGTCAGAGGGCAGGCCAATACCCCCTTCTCCGGTGGAAGCGTGGGGTGGAAATAAAGCTGATGCATAGTGCTGAGGGTGATGCTGATGAGGGGGAGGGGGTCAGTCCTGGGGTGCCCTTGGGTCAGAGGGCAGGCCAATACCCCCTTCTCCGGTGGAAGCGTGGGGTGGAAATAAAGCTGATGCATAGTGCTGAGGGTGATGCTGATGAGGGGGAGGGGGTCAGTCCTGGGGTGCCCTTGGGTCAGAGGGCAGGCCAATACCCCCTTCTCCGGTGGAAGCGTGGGGTGGAAATAAAGCTGATGCATAGTGCTGAGGGTGATGCTGATGAGGGGGGGGGTCAGTCCTGGGGTGCCCTTGGGTCAGAGGGCAGGCCAATACCCCCTTCTCCGGTGGAAGCGTGGGGTGGAAATAAAGCTGATGCATAGTGCTGAGGGTGATGCTGATGAGGGGGAGGGGGTCAGTCCTGGGGTGCCCTTGGGTCAGAGGGCAGGCCAATACCCCCTTCTCCGGTGGAAGCGTGGGGTGGAAATACAGCTGATGCATAGTGCTGAGGGTGATGCTGATGAGGGGGAGGGGGTCAGTCCTGGGGTGCCCTTGGGTCAGAGGGCAGGCCAATACCCCCTTCTCCGGTGGAAGCGTGGGGTGGAAATAAAGCTGATGCATAGTGCTGAGGGTGATGCTGATGAGGGGGAGGGGGTCAGTCCTGGGGTGCCCTTGGGTCAGAGGGCAGGCCAATACCCCCTTCTCCGGTGGAAGCGTGGGGTGGAAATAAAGCTGATGCATAGTGCTGAGGGTGATGCTGATGAGGGGGAGGGGGTCAGTCCTGGGGTGCCCTTGGGTCAGAGGGCAGGCCAATACCCCCTTCTCCGGTGGAAGCGTGGGGTGGAAATAAAGCTGATGCATAGTGCTGAGGGTGATGCTGATGAGGGGGAGGGGGTCAGTCCTGGGGTGCCCTTGGGTCAGAGGGCAGGCCAATACCCCCTTCTCCGGTGGAAGCGTGGGGTGGAAATAAAGCTGATGCATAGTGCTGAGGGTGATGCTGATGAGGGGGAGGGGGGTCAGTCCTGGGGTGCCCTTGGGTCAGAGGGCAGGCCAATACCCCCTTCTCCGGTGGAAGCGTGGGGTGGAAATAAAGCTGATGCATAGTGCTGAGGGTGATGCTGATGAGGGGGAGGGGGTCAGTCCTGGGGTGCCCTTGGGTCAGAGGGCAGGCCAATACCCCCTTCTCCGGTGGAAGCGTGGGGTGGAAATAAAGCTGATGCATAGTGCTGAGGGTGATGCTGATGAGGGGGAGGGGGTCAGTCCTGGGGTGCCCTTGGGTCAGAGGGCAGGCCAATACCCCCTTCTCCGGTGGAAGCGTGGGGTGGAAATAAAGCTGATGCATAGTGCTGAGGGTGATGCTGATGAGGGGGAGGGGGTCAGTCCTGGGGTGCCCTTGGGTCAGAGGGCAGGCCAATACCCCCTTCTCCGGTGGAAGCGTGGGGTGGAAATAAAGCTGATGCATAGTGCTGAGGGTGATGCTGATGAGGGGGAGGGGGTCAGTCCTGGGGTGCCCTTGGGTCAGAGGGCAGGCCAATACCCCCTTCTCCGGTGGAAGCGTGGGGTGGAAATAAAGCTGATGCATAGTGCTGAGGGTGATGCTGATGAGGGGGAGGGGGTCAGTCCTGGGGTGCCCTTGGGTCAGAGGGCAGGCCAATACCCCCTTCTCCGGTGGAAGCGTGGGGTGGAAATAAAGCTGATGCATAGTGCTGAGGGTGATGCTGATGAGGGGGAGGGGGTCAGTCCTGGGGTGCCCTTGGGTCAGAGGGCAGGCCAATACCCCCTTCTCCGGTGGAAGCGTGGGGTGGAAATAAAGCTGATGCATAGTGCTGAGGGTGATGCTGATGAGGGGGAGGGGGTCAGTCCTGGGGTGCCCTTGGGTCAGAGGGCAGGCCAATACCCCCTTCTCCGGTGGAAGCGTGGGGTGGAAATAAAGCTGATGCATAGTGCTGAGGGTGATGCTGATGAGGGGGAGGGGGGTCAGTCCTGGGGTGCCCTTGGGTCAGAGGGCAGGCCAATACCCCCTTCTCCGGTGGAAGCGTGGGGTGGAAATAAAGCTGATGCATAGTGCTGAGGGTGATGCTGATGAGGGGGAGGGGGTCAGTCCTGGGGTGCCCTTGGGTCAGAGGGCAGGCCAATACCCCCTTCTCCGGTGGAAGCGTGGGGTGGAAATAAAGCTGATGCATAGTGCTGAGGGTGATGCTGATGAGGGGGAGGGGGTCAGTCCTGGGGTGCCGGTCAGAGGACAGGCCAATAGCCCTCTCCTTCCTTCCTTCCTTCCTTCCTTCCTTCCTTCCTTCCTTCCTTCCTTCCTTCCTTGTTGCAGGCTGGCTGGCCCTGCCCCACCTGCACTTTCATCAACAAGCCCACCCGCCCCGGATGTGAGATGTGCAGCACCGACCGTCCCGCCAACTACGTGGTCCCTGGGAGCTACCAGCCGGACGAGACGGAGCTCTGGCGGATCCAGCAGGAGAAGGAGGGCATCCTGCAGTACCAGAAGGTGAGCCCAGAACCCACCCTCCCACAGGTCTGCTTTGAGTCTCCTTCTGGAGAGAAAAGCAGGGTATAAATAATAATCATGAACATAGAATCATAGACTCAAAGAGTTGGAAGAGACCTCCTGGGCCATCCAGTCCAACCCCATTCTACCAAGAAGCAGGACAATCACATTCAAATCACCCCTGACAGATGGCCACCCAGCCTCTGCTTAAAAGCCTCCAAAGAAGGAACCTCCACCATACTCCGGGGCAGAGAGTTCCACTGCTGAACGGCTCTCACAGTCAGGAAGTTCTTCCTCATGTTCAGATGGAATCTCCTCTCTTGTAGTTTGAAGCCATTGTTCCATTGCGTCCTAGTCTCCAAGGAAGCAGAAAACAAGCTTGCTCCCTCCTCCCTGTGGCTTCCTCTCACATATTTATACATGGCTATCATGTCTCCTCTCAGCCTTCTCTTCTTCAGGCTAAACATGCCCAGCTCCTTAAGCCGCTCTTCATAGGGCTTGTTCTCCAGACCCTTGATCATTTGAGTCGCCCTCCTCTGGACACATTCCAGCTTGTCAATATCTCTCTTCAATTGTGGTGCCCAGAATTGGACACAATATTCCAGGTGTGGTCTAACCAAAGCGGAATAGAGGGGTAGTAGAAATGATGATGATGATGATGATGATGATGATGATGATGATGATGATGATGATGTGCACCTAGCTCTCTTCGTGCTCTCTGCGGGAAGCACTCCTTCCCTGTCTCTTATATAAAACTTTACTTGTATTCCGCCCAATCTCCCCAAGGTGATTCAGGGTGGATTCCAACAAATTTATTTGTAAAACAAACAAATACTGACATAAAATCCCAGCGAAACCCCACATATTAAAACAACATTAAAACCTAACAATCTTGCATGGATTTTGCTTTGAAAATGTCTTAAATTCGAGTGAATGGTAAGGTATGTTATACTTATTTTGCACAAGTTGCCATTTGCATACAGATCTAGACACATTTCATTATTTTTGAATGTATACTTTCTGATTATATATTAGACTAGCTGTCCCCTGCCATGCATTGCTGTGGCCTAGTCTGTGTATGTGTGTTTTGTGTATGTGTATATGTGTCTCTATCTGTGTATATATTTGTGTTTGCATATATATGTGTGTGTGGTTTTGCGCATGCGTTGTAATGTATTTTTTGTGCTTTTTTTAGTATATTCCGCTGTGTTTTTCAGTGTGTTTATGAGTGATGGTCACTCATTGCCCTGAGAGGTGTATTGTGTCCAAATTTGGTATAAATTCATCCAGTGGTTTTTGAGTTAGGTTAATCCCACAAACGAACATTACCTTTTTATTTATATAGATTGTTTGTGTCAAATAATTATTTTTTTAAAAAAAACCTAACATCAAATTATCATTACATTTCCATTATTTTACTCTATTATTATTTTTATTACATTTATTATTTTACTCTATTATTATTGGTATTACTACATTTACATTGTTTTACTCTATTATTATTGGTATTATTACACTTACATTATTTTACTCTATTTTTAGTACATTTACATTATTTTACTCTACTATTACATTTATTATTTTACTCTATTATTACTGTGATCATTACATTTCCATTATTTTACTCTATTATTATTTTTATTACATTTATTATTTTACTCTATTATTATTGGTATTACTACATTTACATTGTTTTACTCTATTATTATTGGTATTACTACATTTACATTGTTTTACTCTATTATTATTGGTATTATTACACTTACATTGTTTTACTCTATTTTTATTACATTTACATTATTTTACTCTACTATTACATTTATTATTTTACTCTATTATTACTGTGATCATTACATTTCCATTATTTTACTCTATTATTATTTTTATTACATTTATTATTTTACTCTATTATTATTGGTATTACTACATTTACATTGTTTTACTCTATTATTATTGGTATTACTACATTTGCATTGTTTTACTCTATTATTATTGGTATTATTACACTTACATTGTTTTACTCTATTTTTATTACATTTACATTGTTTTACTCTACTATTACATTTATTATTTTACTCTATTATTACTGTGATCATTACATTTCCATTATTTTACTCTATTATTATTTTTATTACATTTATTATTTTACTCTATTATTATTGGTATTACTACATTTACATTGTTTTACTCTATTATTATTGGTATTACTACATTTGCATTGTTTTACTCTATTATTATTGGTATTATTACACTTACATTGTTTTACTCTATTTTTATTACATTTACATTGTTTTACTCTACTATTACATTTATTATTTTACTCTATTATTACTGTGATCATTACATTTCCATTATTTTACTCTATTATTATTTTTATTACATTTATTATTTTACTCTATTATTATTGGTATTACTACATTTACATTGTTTTACTCTATTATTATTGGTATTACTACATTTACATTGTTTTACTCTATTATTATTGGTATTATTACACTTACATTGTTTTACTCTATTTTTATTACATTTACATTATTTTACTCTACTATTACATTTATTATTTTACTCTATTATTACTGTGATCATTACATTTCCATTATTTTACTCTATTATTATTTTTATTACATTTATTGTTTTACTCTGTTTACTATTATTATTAATAGTAACGCTCTCTACGTGGGGTTGCCTTTGAAGACAGCCCGGAAGCTCCAACTAGTCCAACGGGCGGCAGCCATGATTCTAACAGGAGCGGGGCGCAGGGAGCATACAACTCCTCTGCTGCACCAGCTCCACTGGCTGCCAATCTGCTACCGGGCTCAATGGCGTGCTGGCGTTTGCCTTTAAAGCCCTAAACGGTTCTGGCCCAACTTATCTATCCGAACGTATCTCAGCCTATCAGCCCACCAGGACCCTAAGGTCTTCTGGGGAGTCCCTGCTCTCTATCCCGCCGGCTTCACACGTGCGGCTGGCGGGAACGAGAGACAGGGCCTTTTCTGTGGTGGCCCCTCGGCTTTGGGACACCCTCCCCATAGAGGTACGATCAGCCCCCTCGCTGATGGTGTTTCGGAATAGATTGAAGACATGGATGTTTAAACAAGCATTCGGTTAATCCGTTGCAACGAATTTTGTTAACTAAAGGATTGGTAATCATGGACGATGAATTTTGGACTGCGATTCCAGTTATGAGATGCTTGGGATTATTATTGGTGGCCCAATAATTTGTATTGTATATGTGTTTTATGCTTTTAAACTGAATACTGTTTTTTAAATGTTGTAAACCACAATGAGTCGCCGACTTAGGCTGAGATATTAGCGGTATACAAGCGTATAAATAAAATAAATAAATAAATAAATAAATGCATTAGAATAATGGTTTAATCAGGAGCCCTCGGTGGCACAGTGGGTTAAAGCGCTGAGCTACTGAGCTTGTTGACTGAAAGGTCGCAGGTTCGATTCCGGGGAGTGGCATGAGCTTCCACTGTTAGCCCTAGCTTCTGCCAACCTAGCAGTTCGAAAAAATACAAATGTGAGTAGATCAATAGGTACCGCTCTGGCGCTCCACGCACTCATGCCCATGGCTACATGACCTTGGAGGTGTCTATGGACAACGCTGGCTTTTCGGCTTAGAAATGGAAATGAGCACCACACCCCAGAGTCAGACATGACTGGACTTAATGTCAGGGGACTACCTTTACCTTTTAATCAGAGTTGGACAGCCTTATCTTAGGGAAATATTCGAAAACATTTCACCTACACATGCCTCAATTAATGTAATTATATTGAGGTATCTATTTCTGTTTTGAAATTGACCAGTAGCGGATGCATTTCCCGCCCTCGGCTTAGACTTGAGTCAACACATTTTTCCAGTGTTTTGTGGTAAAATTAGGTGCCTCGGCTTATATTAGGGTCAGTTTATACTTGAGTACAGTGGTCACTCGCTCATTCACGGTCCGCTTATTACGAACTCGCTGTTTTGTGGGCTTTTTAATTTTTTAAAAAAGAATTCTGCCCTCCTTACCTTCCTCTTCCTCCTTCTCTTCGGCGCTTGGGCCCAATGCGGCGTCGCAGCAAGAGGCCCAGGCAGTGAAGAGGAGGAAGAGGAAGGTAAGGAAGGCGAGGAGGGAAGGTGAGGGCTTGTTCCTACATCGCGGAATTTCACTTATCGCGGGTGGTCCAAGAACATAACACCTGTGATAAGTGAGGGACCACAAGTGATATTTTTGGTTGCTATTTTTGTGATTTCACACACACGCACATGCATATATATCTGTATAACAATTCCCTGGAAAAACAATGGAAATTTGTATTGTTGAAGGCTTTCATGCCTGGAATCACTAGGTTCTTGTAGGTTTTTTCGGGCTATAGGGCCATGTTCTAGAGGCATTTCTCCTGACGTTTTGCCTGCATCTATGGCAAGCATCCTCAGAGGGAGTGAGGTCTGTTGGAAATAGAAAAATGTGTTTATATATCTGTGGAATGACTGGGGTGGGGCAAAGAGCTCTCTGCTGAAGCTAGGTGTGAATGTTTCAGCTGACCACCTTCATTAGCATTAGCATCAGCTGAAACATTCACACCTAGCTTCAGCAGAGAGCTCTTTGCCCCACCCCAGTCATTCCACAGATATATAAACCCATTGTCCTAATTCCAACAGACCTTACCTCTGAGGATGCTTGCCATAGATGCAGGCGAAACATCAGGAGAAATGCCTCTAGACCACGGCCCTATAGCCCGAAAAAACCTACAAGAACCGAATGGAAATTTGAAATTTATTATTTACTAGCCATCCCCTGCCACACATTGCTGTGGCCCAGATGGTGTATATGTGTTTTGTATGTGTATATATGTGTGTATATATTTGTATATGTGTGTGCTTGCGTATATATGTGCTTTTGCACATGCATTGTAATGTATTTTTGTGCTTTTTTTAGCCTATTCTGCTGTGTTTTTCAGTGTGTTTATGAGTCAAGGACATACATTGGGTTGTTAGGTGTCTTGTGTCC